AAACTAAGTGAATAAGCGGACAACAATGTAATTCAAGGTATCTATGCTACCACCTGATTAGTATAATGTCGATATTAGCTTCTTTTTTTTTTTTTGGGTTGGCGTGGATATCTCCTACTTGGGACGTAATATGACATGTTTAGGTTCAATTGTGTATATTAAAAAGTGATAATTAGACATTCTGCTACATGAAGCATGCATCGTCGTCTTTCAGTCTTGTAATATGCACATTGAGATTTTTCCCCTGGTTGCTTGGAAGGCATTGTTGGTCTACGAACTGGCTGGAAGGACATCTACAGCTTGCTTGCATGTCATTTCGGGTTGCAAATAGTTGCTGTTGAATCTCACATCTTGAACCTTAAGTGCATTATTTCTATATTGTATATTTAATGTCAATGCATGGTTTTATTAAATGTTTCAGTTATTAATTAGATGTCAAATTGCATTGACAGTGCCTGTCTCATGGGTCTATGGATGGCTTAATATTTTTGTGTCCTATCTGATTTATGCCTTCAATAAACAACGCAGTTGTTATACTTGTCCCAACTAGGGAGTTAGCTCTTCAGACATCACAAGTCTGCAAGGAACTTGGCAAGCATTTGAAGATTCAAGTAATGGTCACCACAGGAGGAACCAGTTTGAAGGATGATATCATGCGTTTGTATCAACCTGTCCATTTGGTGGTTGGAACTCCCGGAAGAATACTTGATCTTGCCAGAAAGGGAATATGCGTTTTGAAAGATTGTACGATGCTTGTTTTGGATGAGGTATCTTGATTTATTTTTTTATATCTTGTGCCCTAAAAACTTCTGAGGATTTAGTAGCAAGGCATGCATTTTTCCCTTCTATTTCACCCTATTTAATTTATTTTGTTGGTTGGATATGGTCCAAAACATATATAAATAGACTTTTTTTGCCGTAGGGTAGTTAATAGTATTAAGCTCAACAATAGGTTTCTTGAATGCTGAAGTCATGGACCCTCAATTACTACTTCAAGATGTCTATGTTGGTCTAAGTTTAAAATTTGTTTTTCATGGTTTTTGAAGTTTCAAGTTGCTATGGCCCAAAATGGTTGCATGTGCTTCTGAGTGTTTTTGATGAGAAATATATGCAAGAGTTTGACTTAGCATTCCTTTGTCACCCAGGCAGACAAGCTTCTGTCCCCAGAATTTCAACCTTCGGTGGAGCAGCTGATTCAATTTCTTCCTCAGAATAGACAAATTTTAATGTTTTCAGCTACATTTCCTGTGACTGTCAAAGATTTCAAAGACAGATATCTAGAGAAGCCTTACGTTATTAATCTCATGGATGAGCTTACTCTCAAGGGTATTACTCAATTTTATGCTTTTGTAGAAGAGAGACAGAAGCTGCACTGCCTGAACACTCTTTTCTCTAAGGTTTGTCCTCAAGTGAAACATTATCTTTCTATTTCTTTTGTTTATGAAAATCCAAGCATCTGATGCTCCATTGGCAGCTGCAAATCAACCAATCAATTATTTTCTGCAACTCTGTGAATCGAGTGGAATTGCTGGCTAAGAAAATCACGGAACTGGGCTATTCTTGCTTCTATATTCATGCCAAGATGCTGCAAGATCATCGAAACAGAGTATTTCATGACTTTCGCAATGGTGCATGCAGGAATCTTGTTTGCACTGGTAATGTTGTGATGCTCTTCAACTTTATTTCCTTTCAAACTCTTGTTTTGTAAATCTGCATCAATATTGATATTAGGACTTTGATATCAAGTAATGTGCTTGTCTTCGATGATGTATAACAAGAAATCATGGATCCTTTGTATGTTGTCATTATTTTTCTTTCCTTGAGCAAACTGTAATAATTTGGAACAAAGTCGTACAATCTGCTTGGAAGACATGTCATGCTATTGCTGAGCTTGTGAATCCATGCTCGGTGAGTGCATGGTGGAGACCAGTGGCAGCAATCTAACCCGGGTGTAATGTTAAGGCCTCTAGGAATGATTCCTAGAGCTATCATTTTTTCCATATTCCTTTGTTGAATTCTCTTACTTTAACAGCCCAACCAGGTTTATTCATTTTAATTTTTACATCCTATTCTCTTAACCTAAACCTTCCTATAGTAACTCTGCATCACCTAGATCTGTAGATGAGGCCAAAAAGTTCATTTGTTTGTTTTGTATTATGTGTTCTTTGCCAACTGCAGTTGAGTTTGTGGCCTGACCAATGTCTAGTGATTTTTAGGCTGGGTTTTCCCTAGCCCAATTGTCGGTTGTGGTCACACTTTTTCATATATGCTGGGATGCAAAGTTCATCTCTGCTGCAATACATAATCCTACTTTTCATCTTCTTTAGTTTTGCCCTTTTTTTTTTTCTTTCTTCTTCCTTTCTGTTTTATATTATTTATATGAATGGGAAGGTTGCACATTGGCTTGTGTATGCTTACACTGTCCTCCCGGCTTAAAGTTTGCCTCTTCTCATCAAGTCTTTTGAAGGCTGACTAGGTGAGCTGGGCTTTAGCCATGTTTGAGACTGCCTTGGCCTTGTCTAGACATATTTTATTTTAACTTTCAAAGGACTTGGGTGGGTTGGCTCATGGAGTCATGGGTGTTGCATTCACATAAAGATCAGTCAGGATAGGGGGGCACCCTAAAATCTGTTAAAAGGAAATTCCACTTCCTTAGCAGCTGATTATATTGAAGTTTTGCTTGCCATTGACAAATTCAAGCTTGTTCAATTAAAAGTAGATACAACTCATACGAGATGCCCTAATGTATTACAGAGGCTATTTTTTTCTTATTTTTTTGTTATTTTTTTAATGTCGGCAGATTTGTTTACGAGGGGCATAGACATTCAAGCAGTCAATGTGGTCGTCAATTTTGATTTTCCTAAGAACTCGGAAACATATCTGCACAGGGTATGTAGGATTTATTATTGAATTTGGGACATTGACTACGTTGTTTCTGATTGAAGACAGTTTCTCTTCTTAGGTTGGTCGTTCAGGAAGGTTTGGGCACCTTGGGTTGGCAGTGAATCTGATCACTTATGAAGACCGCTTCAATTTGTATGTATTTGTTTTCTCTTCCTTCAAGAATATACAGTCTTGCAGCTGGTTATAGCAACGTTGATTTGGGTTTGTCACTACATTACAAAATTTGTGCTGTCTTTCAGGTATAGGATTGAGCAAGAGCTTGGGACTGAAATAAAGCAGATTCCTCCCCATATCGATCAAGCTATTTATTGTCGCTGATCTTCGATGAATGGGTCATGTTGGGACAATAGTAAGTAAAACAAGCAGCTCACTACGTACTCGTCTTAATGTAGTTTGTGTGCCTGATGTTGACCTGCAAACAATTTGAGCTGAGTTGTTCATGAACAGCTTAGGCTTGTTTCAATAACAAACTTGTCCCAAGCTTTGTTCACTTGAAAATGATATTAAAACTTTAAACTATCTGTATATATATTTATATTTAGGGGGATTTGGTCAAAGTCCCCTGATAATAAAACTTTAATGCATTAAGGACAAGCTCAAAAGTTTTCTTTGAAAAGTTCAAAACATACTACTATTACCAAAATATACTTAGTGAGTAATTTAATATTTTAGACCTTAAAATAATATAACTTCTGATCTAGATGTCGATTTTTAATAAAATTAGTATTGTTAAAATCCGTTCATCAAGATCTATCAAATAAGATTCATGTTGACTATGAAATTCTTAAATATATATATATATATATATATACCATCGAAATTAACGTAAACAGTAACATGTTACTCTGTTTGATAGTAACATGTTACTCTGATTTACAAGAACATTTTATTGTTACAAAAAACAGTATACATACTAAATGAACCAATCAAAAATACACATACACAATATTTGTAAACTTGTATAAAATAAAATAGAAGTGTTCCTAGTCAAAAGAGCCTTGCGAAATATATATATGCATGGGCAATATTGTCCAAGAAAAAAAAAGAACTTTTACTCCGTTCTTGTTCAATTATGTGACTCCTCTTTAGAGAGTTTATGAAGCAAAATAAATTAAGTTGTCATTTTCACCAAATAAGGGTCGAATGGAGGGGTTTTGGCTAAATTTCCCTTATAATTATATGTTTGGGTATGTGTAAGCAAAATAAAAGTAAAGAAGAACCTGTGTACAAATCTGAATTCTCATTTTTTAAATACGCCCAGCCTGAAAAGGCCTCTACTCTACTTGTTTAGGCCCTTGGATAGAAAGGATATGCATGTAAGTGTTGTGCTCTCATTTGATGGATTCGTTGCATTTTTTTTTTGGTATATTGTTATGTATTTACATGTTTGATGTATATTAGTGGGATGCATCTAATGGCTTTTCATTAATTCTACTTACAGGGTGGTTCCCAAATCTCATCTAACTTCTTACCTTATTCCCAATCTTGGAAGTGAGGGAGAATGAAGTAGTATCCTACCAGAGAGATTTGAAGAGCCTTAGAAAGATGGAGGTTAGTTAAAAGTCACTTGGAAGATTTAACATGTGCTGGTATTATTGCCAAGGCCAAACTGAGAAAACAATATTAGGGATTTGTTATTTTGTGTTTCTTACCTTTCTTGTTACATATGTCCTGTCTGGATAAAGAATGCATGTAATCAAGAATTTGTGGAGTCTGTTTGAGTTTGATCTTTGAGGGATTTCAGCCTGAATTTCCCGTTTAGATGGGCTTTATCTCTCTCTCTCTCTCTCTCTCTCACACACACACACACACAGACACACACACAGACACACACACACAATTGAAATATGGATTTTGTCATTACTGGAACAAAAACATTTTTTTTGGTCAAGTAGGGAGTAAAGTTGTTGGACAGAGAGACAAACGTCTTTTTTGAGACACAGGATCCCACCCCTCCCCACCCCACGCAGATGTATGCGCATACTAGTAAGAAATGATGGTGGATTGGTACTTAAACATGGTGCTGGTTTATATTAATCAAGTTGGTGATTTGGTAGTGACCTTTGACATGAGCTCTCATATCCATCTTTTTGAGAAAGGAAGGTAGAATGAAGGTGGGTGAGAGGTGGCTTGAGGGTTGTGCTCTGAAACTTGTTATATGGAACTCACACAGGCTTTATAAAGACGGCCAACTCTTGAACGAGTCAATTGTCAGATACCTTTTTATGTTCCTTTGATGCCTATTACATTTCACAAAAAAAGTGGTGGAATTGCACAAAAGAGGACAAATTAAAGCAATTCTTATATTATTATTATTATTATCGTGTTTAGTATGAGAATGGTGAAAAAGGCAAGAGGATTAAATTTCTTGTACTAGCATGGTAATTCAACTTCAATTTCTTGCAATATATATATATATATATATAGGAAATATTTTTGAAAAAAGTTACCTAAAACATGACTCTAGAATTTATTCAAAGATGCAGGTATGTTTGTATCACTGAAGTGCCTAGACAGTTGGTAGCACATAATCTAGCTAAGGCAGCATCCACAAATACTGTCTTTATCATTGTCCTTTTGCAACTGACTCTGTTATTCACTTATATTTATGTGCATCTCATCTTTCTTAGAAAAAGGAAAAAAAAAAAAGAAAAAGTGAAAAAAGATGCAAATTATTTCATGTTAGTTATTGATTGTTTTAAAAATAAACAATTTAAGACCCAATTTCATGCTGTATTATTATGGATGAATATAGGAATCATGTTATAGAAATTTCTAGAATCTCCCAATCTCAATTTGTTCAATAACTTAAATTATCATAACCAAATGCATGTTAAGAAATAAAATTTTATTTACCTTATTTTATTTATCGTTAGATTAATTTTCTCTTACTTTAATTTTGTTTGATTTTTTTAAATATTCATTTTTAAACCTGGAAAAAGGAGGTAGTTTGTGCAACATTTGATAAAACTAGAAGTAGCTCAAGAAAATTTGAAATCCAGCTTTTAACTGAAAAAATAAATTACATAAAATTTTATCAATCAGAAAACATTGCCAAAATATAAATTGCCAATAAATTTTACCAAACGGGCTGTTCCATCAATGGTTCAGTCAGACTTCGCAGTTCATTTAAGTGAGGCAACAGCCAACACTTCATAAATCATGAAGACTAATGAACACACAATGGAAAAGAAAAGAAAAGGTATGGAATATATAAGGGTACAAGGCAAAAGTTCAAATTTTCAGTCTCACAACTCAACCATGTTTCACTTTCACTTATGAACAACAACACAATGAAATCACATTATGCACACCAAAAAAAGGACATTTACAAAACCAAAACATTACATTATTACACAAAACACCAATAAAACAAGCCTAATTAAGAACAAAATATGCAAACTATTAAAGTTATAAATCCCATATTTTCAATTCCTCATTTGGTTTGAGCCTAAGAAAGAAAATTAGTAGCTAAAGCACCCAAAAAACTTTTTCGGTGTATTGCCAGTTGCACGGAATTTTGCAGCTACCTCTTCTACCTTGAGAACATCCTCCCCACGTTTGGCTTCAATCATCGCTCTCTTTTCTTCTGCTGCCTTGTGGATTTCGGCCGCCTTGTTCTTCATTTTCTCTGTATATTCTGCCTTCATCATTTCAATTTTTTCCTGCTCATATTTAGGTTTCTATCAGAAACAATATAAATGGATTTGTGAAATTACCCAAGTCCATTGTGTTTTTTGTTTATCTTTCTAAATCTAAATCCTCAAAGAAAACTGATGTATTTAGAATTTTCCTGGGAAAAAAATAATGGTAGTTGCATATTTCTTTGATGTATTATAATGTTGGAAAATTTTCACTCCTAGTTGACTAACTTCAATCTTATTTTGTTGATAGACTATTGCAAAATAGATAGATTTGTTTGAAGTAATTTTCTTTTGCTGATCAAAACAATAAGTTTCGAATTTTTCCTTCTTTCGATTCTCATCATAATTAGCTGAAAAATTGATTGGCAAACTATCATACTTGAAGGTTTGAATTTAAGAAATATTATTCACCTCCATCTTCTTCAACTGAGCTTCTACGCATGCTTTTTTGCTGTTCTCCCATGATCCAATGGCTGACAACTTTTTGTATGCCCTGATTAGTGGTTTCAGACAGTGACGAGTTTAAGTTGCAATGAATCACGTATCAAAGCTTACTATCATAGAGAAATATATCCCATACATAGAAAAAAGAAAAAGAAAAAAAGAAGCTTATTCATCATAGAGAAATAAATTGCAGAAAATTATACTGATTTTCAAAATTGACTCTAATTATTATTAATGTGGTTCCAAGAGCAACTACTCCATTTAATACAAATGTGAATTGGTTTATGGAAATTGACATGGATATCAAATTGGAATTCAAACCAAGGCACCAGGCCATGAAAACGGTAAACAAAGAGCAACCCAGTGAGCGAAACTCCCGCCACTATGGGGTTTGGGAGGGTCTGATGTATAGAGTCTTATTCCAACATAAAGCCAGCAAGTGTAGGAATATAGAAATCGGTTACTAAATGTATATGAAAAGAAAATAATTTTTATGCATTCATGTACATATGTTGTGTTTTGTTTTGTTTTTGTGTTGGTAGTATCAACTGTTGAATCCCTTACACTAGTGAATTCATATTAAATATGATTTTGCATAACCCAGATGGCAATTATGTTAGAAATTTACATCTAAATTGATCTATGGTAAATCAAATCAAAGAAAAGAGGAGTTACAGCAATACCACCAGCACAAAAAGAGTAGTACACAAAAGAGAAAAGAAAAGAAAAGAAAAGAAAATGTAATACTAATCAAACATACTTGTTCTCAGTTTTTGTTTTTTCACTTTCTTCCCATGCTTTAATCAAAGCAAATCTCTTTTCTGTTTCAACCCGTGCAAGCACAGCATCTGAGACATTAATACAATATGAAGCACAAATCATATACATACACGGGAAACATTATGCTACACCTTTTGAGGACCATATGCATAGAACAAAATTTCTGGGTCATAACAAAAAAAATAAATAAAAAAATATCATAACCAAACATAATTATACAAAATTAAAAGAAGGTACAAAATTTGATACGAACAAAGAGTAATCTAAAATTGGACCTTTGGATTAAACAGTCTGAGAGTAATTTTTTTATACCTCTGTCAGTTGGATCCCCTGATTTCTTTTCAGCAGCAAAATCTGAATCCTCTGTTACAAACCCAAAGAACTTAATCGGTTGCAGAAAGAGTTATATAATATGATGATCCAATCCACATTTTAGAGAGAGAGAGAGAGGTTTTACTTTCGGGTATGGCAAGGGTTTTGGCGAGAGAGAGCTTCTCGTCTGGGATTGGGACCAGACTTTTCTCAGATGGTGCGGCCGTCGGATTAGCTTCCGATTCAACTCTCTTGGTTTCTTCTTCTCCCATTATTATATGTATATATATACGTATATATCTGTGCTAAAATGAGCAGTATTCAGAGAGAACTCAGAGGCAAAAACAGAGAGAGAGAGAGAGAGAGAGAGAGAGAGAGAGAACCTACCAGAGAGAGCTAGGTGGGAGGTAGAAATAGAAGTGATAGTTGGAAGCTGCCAAAAGAGGTTACATTGGGGACTTGTTTGGATGTCGTCACAAACAATGAAACAACTTTTTGTGACTAATTTTTTTGTTTTCTGATTAAAAAACTAGTAAATATATATATATACTAGCGTATGCCCGTGCCTTTTATAAGATTTGTCAATTAAATTATTTATATAAAAAAATTAAGTTAATTGAATATTCAGGTAGACATACAATCCCAACACATTATTTTTTTAAAAGTATTTTATGGTGAATTTTGAAAATAATGCATGTCATTCATTTTTTTTGAAAGAAAATGTGATTTAGGAACACTTTGAAAAACTGGTTAAAAGTAAATTTTTAGCTTTTAACTTGGGACAATTTTATTTTTATACACTAATTCTTCTTAGTATACACTTAATGAATACTTTCTCAATATACATATTATAAAAATATTTCTCAGTACACATCTCTATATTCTAATATTACCCGCATTTTTAATTTTAAAACCCTAAGGCTATGTTTGGTTGCAATTTTTTAATCAATTTTTTGAATTTTTATGAGGAAAATATAATTAATTGGACAAAAAATAAATACCAAAAGAATATTTTTTAAGTTTTAAATTTTTTGTCCCTAAAAAAATAAAACCATATTGAAATAAGAAGTTTATTTTATTTTACTTATCTTTGAAAACATGTTCTAAAACTATACTAAACAAAGTCTAATTTTTTTTCTTCTCATTCATCCACTTATTTTTTATTGTTGTTGCCGCCACTTTCAACCCTCCATTGCCACCACCATCACTACTTCTTGCTCATCCCCCTCCATTCTAGACCTCCACAGTCAACATTGAGTGATTCGTGGTAAGAGACTTGTAAAAGTGTATAGTTTATGGTGGAAAGTGATTACAAGCAGATAAGAAAAGAGGCGACCAGAGGGAATGGCGGATAAGAGAGGTGATGCTGGCAATAGAGGATGGTTGTGGCGTTTTAGAAATAGGGTTTGAGTAGAAGAAAATGATGGTATTATGATATTTTTATTTTAGGACAAAATTGTATTAATGAAAATTTTCATTAAATGTGTGAATTGAGTGGAATAAGTGTGTGGAAATAGAATTACCCTTTACCTCATTTTGGGTCATATCATCTTTCACATTTTTTACTCACAAAAAGTCCAAAAAATGCTAAAAAAATTAATTTTTAACTAACTTCCCAAAACACTCATCAATCGTGTGATTACTAATGTTCAATTAGCTTAAATTTTGGATGAACGAATTACTCAATAAATCCTGTGGGAGCCGAATAAATAAAAGCTCTAATTGGCAAACAAGGAACATTCAAGCCTATCTTTGATAGGCCAGATTTAGCCAAAGATCATTGAATTCAAACAAATCATTACCAAGTAAATTCAAATGGACTGAAGAACGTACCGAATGAAAGCTACCTAGACCGTACGTCAAGACCAAGTACATCGAGGAAGTCGGTATGACAATGAGTGGGCCCAAGCTGTCATTTTCTAAAGGTGTAGTAGAGAGATGGGTTATGACATGGTAATGATCAAGGGCAAAGTTACAGGAGAAAATATCCATGAGAATGACTCTATAAAAGGAAGGTATGAGTAAATGAGAAGGCATGCTTTATAACTCAAACCCTTAAAAATAGAAACACCACTTCCTCTCTTTTAAGGAATTAACTTGCTTATTGGAGTGCTAATTCTGACACCCTTGACCGGAATACTTTCTTGTTTCAGGTAGCAAAACGAGAATCTCCTAAGAACTTGTTTGGAGTGAAGGAGTATTACAAAACCACCCTAAAATGAACACTTTAGATCGTCAAGATTGGCCCGGAGTGAGCCCACAATAGGCAAACTGCATAGTAATCTTTTTTATTTTATTTTATAATTTTGAAAATTTTAGAATCAATTTATTTATTTTTTTTTTGAAAAAATAAAATAAATTTCTATTTCTATTTCTATTTCAAAAACAAAAATAAAAATGGATGTTTTACTAAACAAGGCCTATGCTTTTATTTTTTTAACCAATAGTGACATATTTTGTTTAAGACATTGCTATACAAGTTTAAAAATTAGACCTAATTTTTAAAAATAAACAATTATAATATCTAAAATAATATTCTCTTATATTTTCTCAATCATTAGCTAATCATATAAAAAAAATAGATATAAAAAATGGACATTGTGTGTGTCAATTTCCGACCACACTGCCAACTTAGTACTCAACTGGAGAACACCGACAAAATAGGTTAAGCCCGAACAACCTGCAACAGAAAGAAGAGATTCCGGCGGTGGCTCGTCCACCGGGGGGCACTCCAACGATCAAGTCAGTAAAATATCTCTCAAAGATAACCAATAGTGCTTAACTCACTAGACAGAGCATAAAAGAAATACCTTAGACCCATGAGGGTGCCTCTCTTTTATAGCCAACACAAACCTAGTCCCAATAGAAACCTAACTTCAAGGGACTCAGGATTACTGCTAATCTTGGACTCTCAGTAGGATTAGGATAAACTCTCTAAGAGTTTTATCTTTACCCAAACTAAAGTCTTCTCCCATTCTAGGACTCTTGTCCCTTATTCGCTTATCTCGGATTCCGGTATCTTCGCAGATAATCTCGGCCTAGCCGAGATGATCTTGGCGTCATGAATAGGACACGTGGCACCTCGGCTGGCACTTCGGTGACACCTCGGCTGGCACTTCGGTTACACCTCGGCCACGTGTTGTCATTCAAAATTTATGTCCTCACAACTGCCCCTAGGTTCTATTACCTTGGTATCCTGAGGTGATGAAATCTATATCATTTCTTCCATTTAGCACGTTGGCTAAGCTTGCTTCATCATCTATTGCCGAAGTTAGAACTCGTCGGCTCAATATGACCAAGATCTATAGCCTGCTTTCATCAATGCCTTAGAACCAACGACCAAGTTCGTTCAAGTTTCTCAGCCAAAACCGTCCTCCTAGCCGAGGTTTTTGCTTCATTGAATCAAGAACTCAAAGAGTTCCAGCATGCGTATGAGCTGGCATGCACAGTATTTCAACCGTCTTTACTACGCGTCTTTTCCCTACTAGACCGTACCTGATACGCGCTATCAAGTCTCATCACTTTTGCGTGCATTGTTTGACAAGCACGTCGTCCAAGGCACCATAATTGCCATTTTGCCGCCATTTCATGCTTTTGATCAAAATCAACTCTTTCTTCCTCTTTTCACTTCTGCATCTTCGTTCTTGTTCAATCTTTCTCTCTAAAATCCTCCAATGCTGCTTTCGTTGCACTTCTTTGCTTACTATCACCGTCTGACACCGGCGTACTTCACATTGGCCTTTTTGTAATCTAAACAATCATTCTTCAATGTTAGGCCGAAGTGCCTTCTTTCATTTTCTGAATGCATTCTTTAATTTCTTCTTTCAACGTGGTTGTATGTGTCTTCTTTTTACTCTTGTATGATTCTATACTTAAAATAATTTGCATGTCTTCAAAATACACATTAACTATGCAATCTCCTCGGGGTGTAACACCTCGGTTGTACCCACTAATCGATTTATCTCAACCTCGGCTTAACACTTAAAAATATTATTTACAATATTTTCACAAGTGTAATTTACAACTCGATACTTCACTCTTAGCAAGACTTCTGTCTTCAAATTTCTTCCAAGTCTTGACAATATGGTAATCTCGGCAAGTATGTAGATATTTCTTTCAACATAACCTTGGCTTAACCTGTAATTTTTTCTCAAAATTTTAACAAGTGTTAAACCAATCTTCTTTTAACATAACCTCGGCTTACTTCAACTTGTAAACTTAAATTTCAACAAACGTTAAACGTGATCTCGGTTTAACTTCAACTTGTAAATTTAAATTTCAACAAGTGTTAAACACGACTTCGGTTTAACTTCAACTTGTAAATTTCAATTTCAACAAGTGTTAAACACGTCTCGGTTTAACTTCAACTTGTAAATTTCAATTTCAACAAGTGTTAAACAAGTCATCGGTTTAACTTTAACTTGTAAATTTCAATTTCAACAAGTGTTAAACACATCATCGGTTTAACTTCAACTTGTAAATTTCAATTTCAACAAGTGTTAAACAAGTCATCGGTTTAACTTCAACTTGTAAATTTCAATTTCAACAAGTGTTAAACATGATCTCGGCTTAAAAATTCCAACTCCCAAGCATTATTCTTTAGCCCTTTGCCCCCTAATGTGAACTTAAGTTCCACTTGGGTTCTCATTAGGCACGTGGCTTTGACCTCGTCGCCGATGTAAGATTTGAACAAAGACTAACTCAGGTTATTAACCTTGGTCTCTTTATTAAGGCACTTAGCTCCAATCTGTGTCTGATTTTGCCGATATAATAAGTCCAGGTTAACCCAACTTAGTTCAACTCTATTATATGCAAGTAAAGTTTATACTCTGCCATAAAATAAGTCTAAGTTATTCGTCATGTTTTAATCAGAAACATGGTCATAGGACTGGTTGGTCCTATCGCACAGATTTCAAAAATCAAACTAGCACTTTATTATTGCTTCAGCCATTATGCCCCATTGCCGGCAACCTTTCTCAGGTTGAGGTCCCTAACTTTGAACTCTCTTGGGCTGACCTTCTTGTTATAAGCCCTAGCAAGTTGTTGCTGGTATGCCCCCAGCCGAATTGCTGTTCTATCGCATGTTGCAGGTGGATTTCAAAGTATTTTCATGCTTTTTACATAGGCTTCAGCTTCCTTTTGCATGAAAAGCCAAAAGAATCCCTACGATATTGCTCTATGGGCAAGAGATCTGCCCCCTGCATGGCTTCCACATACTCCTTTGTGGATCTTATATAAAAATTCTTTAACTTAGGCCAAGCTTTTCTCTCATTGGACTTAATCATCTAGGCCGAGATCTTGTCTTCTGGGATCTGGGATCTGCTCACTTGGGCTGAACTCTTGTCTTCTTGTATCCAGTGCTATCTAGGCTTCGCTTTGGCGAACCATTTCTCTTCTCTTGTTTGGACGCCTTTGTCCCCAGCGTGTCCTCCTCGGCTCTGGCATACTTTTCTATCCTGGCCATCAGCTCCTTCATGCTTTTCGGCAATGTCTTTGCCAGTGATTTTTGAAGTAGGCAGT